GCTGGCGCAGCTGCGGAGTCCGAGCTCAACCCCGCGCGTGGAGGGGGCGACGTAGTGGTGAGGCGAGGATGGCCGTGGCCATGGCGGAGGGGGAGCACGGGCACGCGCTCGATGCGGTGGCTGGCGGCGGAGGTGGTGCGAGGCCACGGTGAGCCGCTACCGGGGGAAGGCCGGCAGATTCGGATGCGGCACCGCGGCGGCGGCGGGGATTACGGAAAGAGAATTAAAACAAAATGCGCGCGCCTTGCGACCCGGCAATTACTTTCGGCGTAGGTCTTTTTCCGCGAGGCCGCGGTCTTTCCTTTTTTCTCTTCCATGGCTCGACGGATCTCGGGGGACGTGGCGCGCTTAGGTGGTTCGAGAAGCCAGCACGCGTGGACGGTGCCGGAGAGGTCGCATGCGAGAGTCGGAAGGATCGGACGGTTCCGGTAGGATTACTGTTAATCTCCTACAACTAAAAAGAATAAAGTGTGGAAATTTTTTTGTGCGACATTTATTTTGGTTCATCCGTCTGCCCACGCCTGCGATCCCACGACATCTTAATTATTAATTGATCGTGTCATTCTCCTTTATTGAATATTGTCTGTCATGTGATAGAGAAATCACGGCAAAATAGGAAGTAGAAAATTATTGTGCTATCCATATACACATTGCATGTTTGCATGCACCAGCATACACGACAACGAGCAAAAGGAAAGAGAATTAACACAAAAGAAAAGAGAATTAAGACAAAATGAATCTATTTGCATTTCTGAGAACTTTGCCAAATCTACCTACATTTAATTACTTTCTCTCTTTGTATTTGCAAAAGGGACAACTTTTACCTCCTTTCATTTGGTTTCACGCTCACGTGTTCCATCGCCCTCACTTGCTGTTTCTTACGTGAACCATAGTTGATGTCATCTGTTTTCCATGGCTCAGTCTTCCAATCCCAAGAGAAGGTCCCTACCTCTCCCTGACTGGAGATCCGGCCTACCAGAGGATCTCCTCGAGTCCATCGGGCAGCGTCTCGCGTCAGGCCACGACGCGACGTCCTTCCGATCCGCTTGCTCCCCATGGCGCGCCGCCGTCCCGTTCGCGACCTTAGGGCCGCTCCTGCTGCTCCCGTTAGACCCCGACCCAGACCGCGTCGGCTTCTACTATGTCCCGAAAAAGAAGGTCTTGTCCAAGACGCTACCCGACGTGCGCGGCAAGGTGGCGGCGTTTCGCCTCGTGGGGTGGTCGGTGCTCATGGACGGGCATCACGCATCCGTGACGCCCGATTGTGAATCCATTCGTTGCATCGAGCCCGTGCCCCGCGTTGAGCTCCCGGTCCAGCCAGCATGAACACGCTGCGCGTCCTCTCGAACGGCAACGCGTGTCTAGGGTCCACGGTCGGTGGGTCCTTCATCCCACCAACGACTACGGGGGCGCGGATGCCGCAAGCGAGCCATCAAGCTAGAAGACATGAGGGCCATGTTCTTGGTTTGCATGAGATCGTGCTCTATATCTTAAGCGCCGCCGACGCCGCCGCCCATCGCGAGTCATATTGCTGCGGTGTAAGCATTTGCGTTCTCTAATTAGGCGTTAGTTGCCTTGTTATTGATGGCCATGCTTTGGTGCTCCACTTAGGCGCGCGCTGTTATTGTTGATAGTTGGGTTGAGTCGACTACGCATGGACGCCGCCGACACCAAACCGAGTTCTCCATGGGGTCCATAGTCCATCGCTGCTTAGACAAGTTCTTGGCGATCGTGCCTTGAGAAATCTCCGTCTGCGAAGGTGAAATTCGCATTTAGCTCGGTTATGCTGATTAAAGCTATTTACACCTCTAGTCCGCCATCTCGATCTTACATGGCCACCTGACTGGGCTCGTTCACCGCAGCACACAGAATCAAACGGTGAGTCATATTGTGGGTGCCATGGTGAGCACGTTCCACGAGACACGAGCTTCACCCATGGATGGCGCGATCTACAAGTGCAACCTCCACAACCGTACGCCAGAGTGGTCTAGGGCGAGGGACATCGGTGATTAGACATTGTTCGTGTCTAAACATTTCAATAAAAGTTTCAGTGGAATAAGTGTATCCAAGTACAAGGAGAACAAGATCTATATGTCTGAGCCATTGTATGGGGATCCATACGACTTGGTCCATCGACTGGAGATCATTGATATTGCTACCGGCGCATCCGAAGTGAAGCCCGTCCAGGAAAAGATGCAGGGTTCCGAGGCACTAGGTTGGATTCGACCCAATCTCTGAAAGCTCTAGAGTTTGTGAGCCTGCGACGCCGCGCACTCCGTGACTATGTTAAATTCATAAACTTTGCTTTTTGGATTAAATGTCACTTTAACGTTGGTATTTAATTTAACAGTATTGTTATTTTATCGTGCGACCCGTGTGTTTTTAGTATAAATTATTAGTTATCCCGTAGCAACGCACGAACACGCTACCTAGTGTACAGTAACATGAGAGAGGGGTTGTGGTATACAGCTTTAAGAGTACTAATTATTAGGTAAATAGATAGGTAGGTAGGTAGATAGATAGATTCATTCACATGCAAATTGTGTTATGTCCTTGATTATTTTGAAATTTTATTACTATTACATCTGAAGAAAAAGAGAAAAAGGGCGTGTAAATCCTCCTAAACCTTGCAGTTTTTATAAAAAATACTAAAAAAGAGATAAAATTCGTTTAGATAAATTTGTAATTCGCTAAAAACACTTAGAAGAGCTATCTGTAGTATGGTTGTGTATCTCATAAAATTGGTACTCAATCAATCCAAAATAAGTGTTTTAGTTTTGTTTTAAGTTAAACTTATATAGTTTTAATTAATTTTTAAAATTGCAACATCTATAGCGTCAAAATAGTTGTGAATAAAAATGAAAGAGGTTTTCAAGTGTGTTTATTTGATGCTATAGACGCTGGTGTATTTTTATAAACTTGGTCAAAGTATACAAAAACCAAAGGTGGTGCATACACTTTAGAACGAGATAGCATATGACAAGTTAACTTTAAAAAACACAATCACAGAAGTAAAAAAAAATAATGAGCCAAAAAAATGTAACATGGAACTTGTCTTAGTTTTGCATTAAGTTTCAATTGGATTAATTTCAATTCTGCAGTAGTTAAAAAAATAGTATTGTCTTTAATAGAAAAAGATGGACCTTGAATATGCAATTACAAGTAACACCCCAAGAGCTATACTAATGCCTTCCTTCTTTGACGGCAAAATCATTAAAGAAATTAGTTAATTTTTCATCACAATCCACTCTAATATATGTGGATTAAAAGTAAATAGAGTGCATCTAAACAAGGCCTTAAGAAGAGGAATCTAGATCACCACCAAAGTCATGGCATGGACCAAAGAAAACTCAAGACATAAGAAGTCATGGTCTCCAAACAAAATTATGATGGCATTGTATTTTCCTACAATAAAAGATATAAACTAATAAAATAATACCCATTTAAATATAATATGTAGACTCTACTTTTTCAAAGAACATTTTCTAATGAAGCTAAAAAATGTTGTTTTTCACTAAAGAGAAACAACCTCTCGTATTCATAATTCAATTGGTCATATGACAAAAAAATGTTCTAGGTTCATAAGAAATTTGTTCTGGATTCACAAGGAAAAGGTTTCTAACTAAAAAAATTGTTGCAAGAAAAATGTTGAGCAGAAGCATGTTTCAAGCTTTATCCAAGAAAAAAAGTTCCACCCTAGCAAAATAAAAATAGGTTTCTTTTTCTTATTTGCAATGTTCAAATAAATACTATTGCGATTCTGATAATTTTAAACCAATGCTCATTAACCATCGGCAGTGTTCTGTGAATGAAAAAAATATATGAAAATACGCATCAAGAAGAATTAAAGAAATGATAATAAAAAGAAGAAAAAACTGCAAAAGAACTGTTTGGAAAAGGAACGGTCCATATGCCTCAGCACAAGGCCCGTGTCTGCGGGTGCGCTCCCCTACGGCCGAACAGCCCCCCTAGTCCCCGACTGTTCTCCCCGCTTGCTCTCTCTCGGCGACGACTGGGCTACCGCCGCCGCCGGCGCCCTACGCCAGGTGTCCAGGTCTTCGTCGGACCCTTCCCCGGCACCGAGCACCCACCAGGTATGCCCCCTTCTCCTCCCTTACCGCTGTGCGAATCCGAGAACCTAAAGCCTAACCTAAGCTATTTGGCTATTTGCAATCGGATCTGATATAGTAGCAAATGTATACATGTATTAATTATGCCTAGTAGCTTCGATTTTTTTAACAAAAAATTATCGAGTGTACGCGTGTGCATCCATGCTCTTTACTGGGTCCGCCCCTGGCTGGAGGCAGATCAGCTTGCAGTTCTCTACCCCTACAAGGATTTTTTTTCGTACTGTTTTGATCTCAGTTTGTGAGATGTTGTTGGGGTACCTTGCCCTGGTACTCTAGGAAAAGAAGAATTTAGGGGAACAGGTAAGGTTGTAGTTTGGTTAGTAACCCTGACTCCTGAGCAAAAACTGACTAAGCCTTCTACTCTAGTTTAGTTACCTATGTACTTCATTTATTAATGGCACGGATGGACGGCTAGTATCTTCTTTCGTGTTAGGTTCCCCAGTGTATTTCACATTATTCAGGTCTATAACAATGCAAGATAAGGTAGGACTTAGATCATCTATGCACAAATGGGGAATCAATTTTATTCTATTCAGGCAGTACCTTGGTTAGCCTGTATCTAGCCATCTGTTCAATTCAGCTCCACAATCACGACAAGACTCTTGAGAGATTAGGTAGTTCTCTATGAAATAACAGAATTGTGTTTCTGAATGTTTGGATAAATGGCACGATAGCTAAAAGATAACACAATGGCAGTGAAAATAATGTAGGTCCTGTGATCTTTACTGCTCTTTCATCTGTAAGTTATCACTGAAATGCTGGGGAAAATATTAACATTTTGCTTCCTTGAATGTATTTGACAAGGGTGAAGCTTGTGTTAAACTGTGCTGAAATTGCTCATGTATGTTCTAACTACTTCAGGAATATACCATGGAGGTCAGACCGATGGTAGCTCTGCGTGCTGCCCTAGTTGGTGGGATAGCAGCATTTGCGAAGATCGGTGGGGCGATGAAAGCTGCAGGAGGTGTCAAGATTGGTGCAGCAGCTGCAGCTGTGACAGCTGCAGCATCAGCTGCTATATCCGGAAAAGACGGAAAAGAAGACGCTTCAAAGGCAGAAACAAAATGATATGACCCATGGATTGGTCGAGCAGTATGAAATTGCCTCTCCAGAGGTTCAAAAGAGAAGGATGCCATAGTCAATAAGTTACGGGAGCAATTTTTCATGCTCCATGTGTTTTTATCTTGGGAATAAGAATGACAATCGAGTTTTCCCCTAAGTATGATTTTGTGCCGTGCAACAGTTTCGGTTGCTGAATGCTAGTCACATTCTATGAATAACCTGATTTCTGCTGTGCCACATTCTGGGGCGCAATGCGCCTGCCATATTCTGTTTGCATAGGAAGATCCTGAAGGTCTTGTGCAGTTTCATGCCTAAAATCCTAGTGATTTACATCAGCATCTGTATAATTGAAGTATCTCAAACTGTAGAACATTGTAAGTTTTACTGTGCCACTGGTTGTATCTCTTTGTTTTTGGGCATGCTCCTTATGTAATGATAATTGATGATGACTTGATGAGCCAGTGCTGTTCAAACATCAGATGCATGGAGCACAAAGCTTGGGCGATCTGGTGCAAGCGGTAGAGTGTTACCGCCTGTGACCGGAAGGTCCCGGGTTCGAGTCGCGGTCTCCTCGCATTGCACAGGCGAGAATAAAGCTTGTCACTGACACCCTTTCCCAGACCTCGCACAGAGTGGGAACTCTCTGCAGTGGGTATGTCCTTTTTTTAAAAAAAGCTTCCATTGGGCATTGGCCTCTATGTTGCCCAAATCGCTAGCAATGTGATTACACTGAAAATTCAGATCTCTGTCAAACAAAAGATCAGAGCCTGGAGGAGCTCTTGTTTTTTTAAGAGAGAACAAAAGGAGAAGTAATTTTTTTAAGAGAGAAGGGCCTGTTTGACATGACTACGGCTCTACCAGAGCCGAACTAAACATCTCGGAAAGAGGCATACTAGCAGCTTTTTTTTTTTAAACTTCTAACCTGGCACTATGCCTTGTTATTGAAACCGAAGACTCACATAATCGCGAGCCACCAAACCTTTTACAAATTCTAGGAGGGGGCTTGTCCAGATGCAAGACTCGCCCCGGTCCCAACTCATCCCCAACCTTGCTAGCTCATGCGCTACTGAGTTACAAGTTCTACGAACAAGAATGATATCATTATTACGAACAAAATGCTCATGAAGAAGATCCCGAATATCCCTAATCAACATCCCGCTAGCCGCCAGGTCCAACGATGGCATGAGAAGAGCCTGCTTTAGGATCGAAGAATCCATTTCCAATTGAATCCGAGAAATACCAAAGTCTGTTGCCGCCTGCAGGGCTTTGGCGCAAGCGGATGCTTCAGCAGTCAGCACGTCGGGTACAGCTGCAATGCGGCCTGCTCCTGCTATGACCGCTTCACCTTGATGGTCCCTGGCCACAAATCCCCAACCGCCCTTCATTATTGTTTCTTGTACAAAAGCACCGTCGCTGTTCATTTTTAGAATATCTGATGGTGGCACCCGCCAGCGCTGCTCTCTCCTTGCTGTTAGTTTTGGCGCCGCTTTCTCCTTCTTATTCAGGTCATTCACAAAATTCACAACTTGGCCAACAATCTCGCCCCTTGTTAGGCCTCTCTCCCCATGATCCAGCCGGCTGCGATTGCTCCACCATTTCCAAAGTAGGATCACAGCCGAGTTTTTTTTGGTGCATGCAAAAGGAACGAGCCGTTTTCTATGTAGAAACCGAAGCTGCAACTTCTAGCTCCTCGCCCAATGCTTTCCTTGAGGAGCACCTCGGCGAGGAGCCATGTAAAACAGGCTTGACATGCCCTGCTCGGAATGGCTCCAGGCTCCGATGGGCCTCTCCTTGAACCTTTTCTTGGAGAATTGTAATGGGCCGACTCGGGGGAGATGACCCGATTTATTTCAGCCCATTCTCCAATTTCCGTCGCACACTATCAGATCACGACCACGTTGGAGTTCCCTTTCCGTTCTCACGGCGGCCACCGGTCCATTCCCTCCCTGCTCCGCTCCAGTGCTCCACGAAAATGGCGCCTCCCCTCGAAGACCTCACCCGAGTATTCGCCGAGCTCGCCGGGCGCCTCTCCCAGCCTCCCGCCGGCGGCGGTGCCGCCGCCTCCGGGGAATCCCTCTCGGCCTCCATCTCCTCCCTCGCCGCCGCCCTCAACCCCAGCGGCGACGCGGCCGGCGCCTCATCCGGAACCAGGGTTCTGGACGCCGCGCTCTCCCTCATGTGCTTCGACCCGCTAGAGGTAAGATGACTCCCTCGTCGTATGCCCTATTGGATCGTTAGCACTGTTGACATTTTAGCTGAACTATCGTGCTGATTGAACTTCGTGCGTATGCAGGTGAATAGTGCCCGCGTCGACTGCCTTGTCGGCACCCTCGTCTCCGTGCTCTCGGCATCAGTCTCGTGCCGTGTGGTCCGGCCCGATGGGGACGCTGGTGAGGAGATGCTCTGTGTCGGGAGTTCCGTGTCGCCCGTGGATTGCCACGAGCTGCTCCAATCGTGTGCAACCCTTGTGGAGGAATTGGGGGACTGTGATGGTGAGAATTTTTTATTTATTTTTTATTTTTTTACAGGGCTCTCTTCCGACACATTGCAATCAGGTATGTCTAATGTCACAGGAAGTGCCCATCAATGCTGTGGCCAGATGATGTGGCATTCATAATGTTTAGGAGTACTTGTGAGCTAAGTTGCACGGATACGGATACGCGTATCGGTATCGGAAGGATACGGATACGCGGATACGGCAATTTTCTAAGAAACCCGATACGCGGATACGTTTTACTGTTTTTTAATAAATATAGATAACAGCGCATATTAAAATTGTGAAAGAGTGAAAGTAGTAAATTACCTTGCAATAGCAATTACCAGCCAAAGCAAAGACCGGAACTCCTGAAGCATCTACATTCTTCAATTGTCCATTCTCGAGTTCTCCAAGACTCCAAGTCCAGAATTTGCACAAAAAAACCAAGTAACCAACTATCAATCAATTTATTACTAAAACTTGACTACTTAAGTATTCAGTAATCACTAATCAGTAGTAGTTCAGTACATCACCTTGCAGTTCATGCAGCAGCAGCCAGCAAGTTCCTATTGTCTGAACTCTGAACTCTGAAATTGATGCAGCAGCCAGCAAGTTCATGCAGCAGCAGCCAGCAAGTTCATGCAGCAGCAGCCAGCAAGTTCTAAAATTGATAAGTGATAACTGATAACAATAAAACATTGCAATTAATCACTTAAGAGTTAAGACTCTAAGAGTACTATTATTACAGCACAAAAGGTCTGTAGTCTCATCAACTCTCAAATATAGTAGTCTCAAATTTAGAAAATTAGTAGAAGGCATTCAGGCTTGCAATTCATGCAGCAGCAAGTTCCTATTCCTCAATTGTTTCATTGTCATCCACAATATCAACCGGCAGCTCATCCAGACCAAAAGACACAGCTTGCAGTTCAGGTTCATCAAGGGACAGATCAGCCACTTCAAGAATGCCAACACCACCAAGTGAATCAAAAGAATCCCCTCCTACATCCCACATCCTTGTCTCTCCTGTCTTGTATGCATCAGTTCTTCTTGACAGATGCCTCAGATTTGAGTGCACAAAGACCAAATCTTCAGCACGCTCTGGAGTTAAGGCATTTCTCTTGACACTATGGACAAAGCTATAGGTGCTCCAGTTTCTTTCACAGCAAGAAGATGAGGCTGGCTGGCTAAGCAATTTCATGGCCAAACACATCAATAAGGGAGCAGATTGTCCATGATTTGTCCACCAAGTCATAGGGGAAACAGCCCATCTATCATGGATTGAGTCAGGATCATTAAATTCTTCTGAACAACTAGAGAACCTTGAGTACTCTTCTTTTACTTTAGTCAATTCTTCTGGCATGGGAAAGAACTTCTTGAAGCAAACCATCCTCATTTTTGATACCTCTTTATCCTTGTGGGGTGGTTCACGGCCAGGACCTTCTTCAATCCACTTTTTGCTATAATATTTGCAATTGGCAATGATGATTTTAGTACCTTGGATGAAAAAATCTATACTGACCATTCAAGTCAATGAAAAAAATCAGAATGGCAATTTGTACCTTGGATTAAGTGAATGAGCTAAACAATGAAGTGGATTATTTCCTTTTGTCCACCTAGCAATCAATATATCATAAATAACCGAGTACAGACTTTACTCCTCATCTTCTTGCTTGCCCTCATATCGATATATGACTTTCTTCACTTTCTCTATCATTGAATCCCACATCTCATAAACTAAGTGAAGACATGGTGTGTCGGTGTCTGTCATACGAATCATTTCATAAATAGGAGTAGTAATCTTAAGAATGTAGTCCACCTTGTCCCACCATACATCACTAAGTATCAAGTCCTTGACAATTTGGGCTGTTGGAGTTGGAGAATCATCTCTGACTTCTCTGTACACACTCCATTTGTCACTAATCACCATTTGTTGGAGGGCTGTTTTTACCTCAACAAACCGCTTCAACATACAAACAACAGAGGCAAATCTTGTTTCAGCAATAGAAAGTAACTTCAAAGGGCTGAACTCATTGAACATTGAAAGCCGCATGCCATGATTCATTATGAAATTCTTTATCATAGCAGCCTCAGTTTTAACATCATACATAAATTCAAGTTCCCCCCAAGCAAATAATTCTTCATCGGAGGGTTGTTTCCTATTTTAGGTTCACATATACTTTTCAGCGCAAGATTGAGGGTATGCACAACACATGGTGTCCAAAATATGTTATCATACTCAGATTCTATTATGAGACCAGCACCTTTGCAATTTGCAGCATTATCCAGAATGATTTGTACTACATTATGTCGAAGACTTCTTCAATTATACCCTTCAACTTCTCAAAGAATGTATTCTTTTGATTTGTACCGACCTTCACAATTATCAGGCCCTCAAGAACATAGGTGCCTTGTCGTAAAGCAAGAAACAAAATTGATGATTGGTCGCCTCTGAGGATCGACCAACCATCGAGCAGATTGTGACTCCTTCTCTTGCCCATGTGCTCTTTGTGCTCTCCAACAAAGTCTCTATGTGCCTCCTTTCTTGCTTGAAGCCCTCTCCCTAACTCTGTTGTAACCAGAATCACATAGCCTTGCATGTTGCGGTACAAAGCAAAGGTAAAGGCTTCTCAAGATATGGATTTCTCGAAAAATTAAAAGATACCCTCCGAATAAATTGCTCTACTAATTAAAGCATCCAAGTGCTTACGGTCTTCCAATGCCCAAGCTTTTTCCAATGCGAAACAGGCCCCTCTTGTTCCTCTTCTTTGTTGTCAAGTCATGATTGCTTGAGGAAGGAGCAATAGGCAAAAGCAGTTCTTGACTTGGATCTTTCCACCGATTCTTGCACCTTTCAATTTCCTTCCTCATTTCACTAAGCATTTCATATGTAACATTAGGACATTTACCTATTCCCTTTCCTCCCTTCTGCAAAGAAATGAGCTTCAACTCTAGTGTAACTACTCGCTTTTTGCATTGGACAAGCTATTTGCAGCAGCACACATAGCATTTCCTCCACCAGGCTCTAGGCTTCTCCTGGTTAATGGTTACATGATCCCAAAGTGGAGCCTTGATGTCGATTGTGTTTGTGGTACTGCAGATCCTACACTAGCACCGCTTTCATATTTGGAGACGCCATCTCTCTCTACTCTCTAGTCTATCTGCATACAAGCAAAGCAACACGAACTACACTTCATCAATAAGAGTATAAGACTAACTTCATGACTTCATCAATACGAACTACATACACTAGCAATTTCACTAACAGAGTAACAACCTAACAGAGTACACAGACTACGAACTAATATCGCATCTGCACACAAGCAAATCAACAAGACCTTGAGCCTAACACGGCGGTGGGTCGTTGGACATGCTGGAGACCCGGCCATGCCCAGGATTGAGGAGAGTGAATCCTGACCTTGAGCGGCGGTGCCGCCGCCTCAGGCCGCCGCCGGATCTCATCTCCCCTCGCCGCCGCCCGCAGCCCCGGCGGCGACGCGATCACCGTCCGCCCGCCCCGCAGCCAGAGTTCTGGACGCGCGATCTCCGTCCGTCCTCGCTCGCTCCCCGCTAGAGAGCCGGAGGCGCGCGATCTCTCGTCGTCTGCCCGTCCGCGTTAGCACTGTGGATGGGGACGAGAGGAGGAGAACTATCGTGCTGATTGAACTTCGTAGGGACGCCATGCAGCGGAGGCGAAGGCGGGCGCGTCGTCGCCGCCGTCGGCACCGGCGTCTCCGTGCTCTCGGCATCAGTCTCGCAGCCGTGAGGTCTCCGTCTGATGGGGACGCTGGTGAGGGACTGCTCTGTGTCGGAGTTCCGTGTCGCCCGTGGATTGAGGCTGCCTCCGTGGGCTTCTAATGGGTGCAACCCTTGTCCGGACGAAGGATACGTGTCTGTGATGGCGATCCGATTTTTTAACAAAAATAACACAAAATCGGATACTCGGAGGATCGTATCCTAGGCGTATCGGATCACGTATCCGTGTCCGATCACAGTGCCCGGATCAATGCTGATACGCGTCTTCAGTGAAGTATCCGTGTAACATAGCTTGTGAGCAGTTTCACAGTTGAGAGATCAGCTTATAAATGATTCCCTGTAGGTTGATTATCTGTTTTTTGTTAATGTTGACACTTTTATTTCTTCAATGTAGATGGAAGGCATTCTTATAATCTGTTGTATGCTGTTGCGAAAACGGTCATGCTATCCCCTCACTACCAGTGTCTTTTCCCTTTACCATATTACAAGGAAGAGGGAGAAAGAGTATCTCATATGGGAACCATTGCTGCGGAGTTAATAAACCATACTTCCAATCATGTCCTTCCTAGTGACCACTCAATCCCACTGAGGTATGCAGTATACTTGCAGCAATTACTTGTGGATCATCGTGTGCTATTAATAAAAGTAAGATTTAATGAAGTAAAATATGTGTTGGTATTGTAGTTTCTGTGCTATTATTAAGTGTACACCATTTCTTTGCTGTAAACGTGTAGTAGGAATCGGAAACAGTCCCTTTGATTCCAAAGTAAGTCATTTAGGACATTGCCATGGTCTCTAATCTGACACTTTGACTACTGATTTATGTGAAAATATGTTATTTCAGAAAAAAGTAATTACAAATTGTGAAAGGATTTATAATTAGGATTGAGAAGTGTAGTAATATCAAGTTTGTGTTCTCAGTCTTAATAGCTGTTTATACATTGATGGTGAGAATTTTAAGAAGTTTGAGTGTTTGACCAACACAGATTCTAAAACAACTTACATTTGGAATTTGAGGAGTGCTTGTAAAGTGCGAAGGGGGATCTTGAAAGCTCGGAGTGCAATTTTGTGCTTACTGGATAATAATCTCTGTAGCGGGGGCGGAGCCAGAACTTAACCAAGAGGGGTGCTAAGTACACTGCAGGTCTTATATATGATTAACACATATTCAATTCTATGTATAATATAGTTGCACAGAGCTACCAAAATAATATTATCGTTGAACATCAGCACCGGCCCTGTCTCCGCCCTGCTCTGTAGTGTTGTTGCTCACCAGCAAACCACTCTACTTTATTTTTATCTGTAGTACACTGACAGGCAGTACCATCTTAATTATGCTTAAGTGTATCTTTGTTGTCACTGCATGGACTTTTAAGCATCTGCTTTCTATAATTATGCTTAAGTGTATCTTTGTTGTCACTGCATGGACTTTTAAGCATCTGCTTTCTATAATTATGCTTAAGTGTATCTTTGTTGTCACTGCATGGAGTATACTGATTTAGTTATATCTTCTGTCTGTGGTAGGTTGCTTTTATGGCATCTTGATCCATCAATTATTAGGCATGATCTCTCAGCGATGCTCCAGGAGGTAATTAGAAGGCCCTTGCTTTGCCTAAGAAAGGAATTGTATAATAGGATGGAATGGCGTATCATCATAATTTGCCTGGTTTGCTCCCCAACAATATTTATGGAGATGAGATCACTATTACACTTCTGGTTTCTAGCAACGTAAGTTCACACCTTGACCTAATTTTTTACAATTTGACATTTTTTTTGAAGAAAATTTACGTTTGACCCCCCGGAGACTTAAACTCATCTTTGGACCCTGGGGGTCGGCGCCAGGACTCATGGCGCCGAGGTAACACGTCTCGGCGCCACAGATCTTGGCGCCGAGGTGCCTGGCCGAGATCCTAGGTGGCGCTGACGTGGCCGGTACGCCGAGGTCGGCGCCAAGATCTGTGGCGCCGACGTTGCATGGACGTCTGCGACGCAGAGGGGTGGAGCAGCGCAGAGGCTGCGTGCCAGTCAGTGCCCTGCGCTGCCCCTTCTGGGGCTTTGTCTCGGGAATCGCGGAAGAGAGAGAGAGAGACAAGGAAGAGGACACAGAAGAGGCAGGCACCGCTGTTCCGTCCACTAGTGCTGCGGCTGCAGCGTGTACTGCTAGGCGTGTGAAGGAGCGAGGCATGGGCCTCTAGGCAGTAGCTATACTACTAGTAGCTGCTAGCCTTTCGCTCTCTGCCCTGCCACTCAAGCATTTTTACTCCACCTGCCACTCTGCACTCCCCATGCTGAGCTCCTCGGCCCTGGAACAATGCAGAGATGGGCGATGGCACTGTACACTGCGCACAGAGCTCCAGCAGGGGCGGGGGGCTGGCCTCCCCCAACAGCCTGCTAATTCCCTATCATGTACTTAAATACATTGATCTATTAGCACAATTATAGGCTCTGGCCCCCCTTAGTTGTAAGCCCAAGTTCCAAGTAACATTTGGAGCCCATGATAGAAGCAAGCCAGCAGCCAAATCACGAGGAAGCTGAGAAGATTAGCAGCCGTACTATTTTCCCCTAAAAAAAATCTCCTTGACTATTTGGCTTCTCGTCTAGAACGCATGGCATGCTCTCGGCTCTCATAGCGTCGCACATTCGCACACAGCACGACAGCAGCACAATACGAGCAGGAAGCGGAGATAGGACATAGAGACGTCGGACGCCGCGTCACCGCCGGAAGCCACCAGAAGCTGCCTCCTGCCGACGCCCAACCGCCAGGCATGTTGTCTTCGTCTTCCCCTTTTGTTCTTCATTCTTCCCAAGTGCACATAAAACTAGTTTTTTTTTGTGCTGCCCCCCTACGTTCGATTCCTGCCCCCCTACATAAAACTGCCATTGGTGCGGTTAGAATGCCTCAAAATTTCGGGCCGTTGAGGTAGATCCATCCTAAAATTATTACGTTAGCAGGCTGATAAGCCAGCCGAAGCTGTTTTGTTGTGAGAGAAAAATACTGTATATTCTAGCTGATAAACCGGCTAATAAGTTCAAGCGAACATGCCCAGAATTCAAAATTTGTCCAATAAGTTGGCTGTTGAGTAATAAAATACTCCCACGTTCGTAAAAGATTGCAACTATCCGATAATAAGTAGAGTGGTCATTTTCCATGCTAGAGCTGAAGGAACAGTGGAATAGGCCAAGGAAAAGTCAAATGTGTGTGTGCATCCCATGAAGGCAGGACCAGAGATCCGGCTGTCGTGCCCAGGCGCAGCAGCCCACTTGAAGTGAGACAGTACAAGATAGATAGATGCAGCCATGCATGCATGCATGCATGCGAGAGCGCAGCTGGTGACTGGTGTCAAGTGTGCATGGAAATCGACCCGGCCCGGCCGGTGGGGAGAGCCGAGAGCGCAAGGGAGTGGACAGGGCAGCGCGGAGAGCGAAAGGCTAGCAGCTACTAGTAGTATAGCTACTGCCTAGAGGGCAGGCTAGAGCGAAAGGCTAGCAGCTACTAGTAGTATAGCTACTGCCAAGAGGCCCATGCCTCGTTCCTTCACACGCCTAGCAGTACACGCTGCAGCCGCAGCACTAGTGGACGGAACGGCGGTGCCTGCCTCTTCTGTGTCCTCTTCCTTGTCTCTCTCTCTCTTCCGCGATTCCCGAGACAAAGCCCTAGAGGGGTAGCGCAGGGCACTGGCTGGCACGCAGCCTCTGCGCCGCTCCACCCCTCTGCGCCGCAGACGTCCATGCGAGGTCGGCGCCACAGATCTTGGCGCCGACCTCGGCGCCATGATGGCGCCGAGGTACCGCCACGTCAACGCCACTTAGGATCTCGGCCAGGCACCTCGGCGCCAAGATCTGTGGCGCCGAGACGTGTTACCTCGGCGCCATGAGTCCTGGCGCCGACCCTAGGGTCCAAAGATGAGTTTAAGTCTCCCAAGGGGCCAAACGTAATTTTTTTTCAAAAAAAGGGTCAAATTGTAAAAAATTAGGACACCTCAAACACTCATATGAAATGCCCTATACTGTTGTTTGCACTGAGTTTGATGTGTCCCGGTCGCGGTCAGTGGGCTTCTACACATACTTTTAATCTTACAAATAGAACTGCAGAGCAGCAAAGGTTAAGAGTGGCTTGCCACATCATGGCAGTCCACCAAATAGTTATTTCAGAAACTCCGACATGACTAAATTAGGAATGCACCAAACAGGCAGTGGATTAAAGTTATCTTAGGAAAGTGGTTTGAAACAGATTTCATTCAATGAACAGTACCAAACTTATTCCACATTTGTCACTTAATTTTTAATTCCAATTTTGATCTTACATTTTTCAAAGAAATAAATTTGACTGAATTTTTAGTTTTTTTTTTTGGTATCCTTGCTTTCTGTAGCCCCTAATTGATATTTTACCAACAACACTATTATGGATGTTACATTTACACATCTCTATATATTGTCTGAACTAGTTATACATTGTGGGCTCGCTGTTTAAGGACTGCTTCTTGTAAAATCTCTTTATTCATCCTTTATTTGTGCAGGGGTTTGGGTTCTGTGCTAGAACTTCACAATGCATTGGTATCGTCGGCATTAGACATTCTTCTCAAGCCTATGTCATGGGGAATATCCATAGAATTGGGGCAGAGATTCCCCTTTTCACATGCTTACTTCCCAAGCCAACAAAGTGACTTGCTTGCGATACTAACTGGACCCTTATCTTGTAAAGGTTTTTTGGACCTAGTTTCTTATATCAGTGCCTTGGTTCATTTGGACAGCACAAGAACTAGATGCTCTTCGCAGAAAAACTTACAACTACAACCATCAAAGGGATTGGTAAAATGCAATTCTGCTTGGTATGTGTTTTCAAATATGCAATTCAGCTAGATGTTTAGCATTTGTATGACAGAAGTTAACTGCACCTGCTATAACTGTGGTTCTGCAGGTACATGATTATTAATTTCCCCGTTTGGTTCAGTTTTGCAACTGCTTTACTTTTCCACAGAGAAGGCTCACAAGATTATTTATCAGAAACATTATCCAAAGAGATAACTGCTGAATCAATAAGTGATGTCAGTCTTGTTCAGAGGGCAGCCTTTTACCTTTCTTGGGTGCTATGCCCTTCTAATGATGATCAATGCGAGGTGCTATCAAACAATATTTTGGAAATATCACATTCTTGGGCTAGGAACAACAAAAAGTGCCTAAGCTACCAAAGTACTGTGAATCATAGGAGGAAACTGCGAATACCCACAGCTGCGAATTCAGAGGAATTCCATGTGCCAATAAACACTGTAAGCTCCCTGGTTAAAGAATTTGATGATCGCTGTGTAAAATGTTGTAGGACAACTGCCTTTCCTCAAGTGCAAGTTGGAAAAGTATCGGACCTCCATCCCTCGTACTTTAACCTGTTGCATCAGTGGATTCCTTTAGGAGTATTGCTTGTATCATCTAGTTGTGTTAACGAGCAGAACTGTGACATCCTTCTGCGGTACACAAGCACTGGGCAGGTTCTGGGGTCAAATGAAGCACAAATAAAAACAAAAGATCATGCCAGTAATGATGGTTTCTTAGGCAGCTGCGTTGGTACTGCTGAGAGATGGGCTTTGATTGGAGCATATCGCATCTTTGGCTGGCTTGACGTAGCTGAGGATATGTCCTCATTGATATTTGATTGTGAAGATAGATGTCATCGTTTTGTCAGCCAACTCAGAAACAAGACAGGCCCATACCTGCTCAAGTGTGTAAAGTCATTATTTAAGGTGTTGGAACAGGGAAATCAAGATAAAGATTTTGTGATTGATCTTCATAATAGGTTGTTAAACTGGAATAAGAATGGGCAAGGCTGTGAGATATTTGGGGACGTTATCCTTGAAATGAACAAGAGGTTTAATCTTCCTGTGTAGCAGTGACCAGGGATTTTATGCAGCTCTTGAATATTTGAATGTCTAAATTGATTGTCAGCCTCCATTCTGATGGTAATGATAATGTGGTTGAAGGAAGCACAGCACAATAGTCTGAACTTTGAACTTTTGAGTTGGACCAGATCCATTGCAGATAACGATCATTTCCCTCCAGAGAGGTAAGTCGTGTCCATTTAAAGAGTGCAATAAATCCTGATCAGTTCAAAGATAATTTAATATAATATGTCAGTTATAGATAACTTAAAAGTTATAGCTAACTTAAAGTAATATCTGGAATATGTACAAATATGAGAGATAGCACGGACAAGTGAAGTAGTAAAAGTTGACTTGCAAATGTAGCTACTGGCTCCAACCTGGAACTTTCCAGTTTCCACAGTAATTTACTGTCAAGAGCTTTTACAGTGCAACCTGTCGACTATGTTTCTAATTGCAAAGTCTAAGGTTACTTGGCCAACTTATTTTTTTTGAATGGACTTACTACAAATGGTGCTTGTTGTTGCAATATGAAAGCTTTTGAGCTGTTCATGTGAACATTAAAATATCAAATTGCTTTTGAGGAACAAGTTATTTTACACCTTTTTCTCTTTGCAAGTGTTACTATAACTTATTTCCTTACATTCATACTTGCTCCAAGCTAGTGACATCTAACATCACATGGAGAGGACAGGAGCCAAAACATATTGAAGGAATCTTAATGTATTGGATTCAAACATAACAACCGAGACAAGTTGAGTTGATTTACTAGTTTTAATTTTGCCTTGCCAGACTGGAGAATTTGTTCTGGGAACGTAGGATTTTCCTGGCTACATCTTCAACTTTGCTAACATGAAATTGCATATGGTAGTTTAGAACTCGTAAAAGAAATTAAACTTTGTGAAGTTGCGGATTAGTGTCAAATTTCTGCCGACCCAATTCCTTGCTACATTTCTCTTTCTTTGCCCTGATCCAGTAACTGTTCATGTCTCCACACATGCTGCACTGCGTCACTGCCGTCTGAGGAGCCATTAATAGTGGACCAGCCATCAGCTTGAACCGACAAGAAATTTAATAATCGCACCTCTTGCTCAAAGTCATGAATGCTAGCTATTGTTCTTAGTCGTTAAGGACTAAGGTTTATCACGTGCTAATGTTATTCATGTCCCCACTTTTGAATAGTTGGTTTCTATTTTCAGGGTTCAAGGTTTACATGGCTAACTCCTAGTTCAGACACCCAAACCAGAAAATCGTAATGCTGGTGATGTTGCTTTGGTTGCACTTCTTTTATTCGCTTCAAGGTCGACCTGATTCCCATGAAGAGGAAAGGAAACATCAAGTACGTGCATGATTGAACTGGTTTGTCTGACCTGTATTTCAGTGTTCCAGGTTTTCATTTCTTCTTGCTCTCACTCGGCTATACATGTTTCTGTTAATGAATCCTTAACCTCTTTCCAGGAACACTGGAACCTGCTTCTCATGCGAAAGCAGCATGTACGACATAATGTGTTCAGGCGCAATGTTCATGGTTCCGGTATGGGTTCTGGGAAAGAATAGTCTACTCTGAACACTGCCCTTTCCCACTGCAAGCGAATAAATTGTGTTTCCTTAGGACATCAGCATTAATTTCAGCTGCTGGATTTGATATATACCTGTACTCCTGTAGGCTGTTTTGGGTGTTGCAGGCTTGCAGCTAGTCAGTTTACGGCTTTGCTGTATGTAGTTCATCGTTGGTTGTTGCGTTTGAGACTGTATGAATCCATCGTCAAAATACGAAGTTGAAAATGCTGACTACACTTTGTTAGTAAATATAGTCAGTTATTGGATTGACAATTCCAGTGTATCTGTTATTAGTTTGTTGCGCACTTCAAATCTTGTGATAATTTAATATATTTTATTATAATGTTAATGGCCCATAACATTGCTAGGAGGATAGAACTCCCGCATCTGACAGGTACTATCAGTAAATTATATATATATATATATATATATATATATATATATATATATATATATATATATATATATATATAGTGGAGTATATTAATTTTATATATTAATTATGATAAAATAATATATTTTACGCCAGTAGCTACCTCCATTTACGATAATATTTATATAACGTTAATTTAACCACTTATAATGCCAATATATATTCGTAAATTAACATAGTAATTATTATAACATATGACGATATTTACCATAACGTTATAGTAAACCACTTAATAATATAAGTACTATAATATATATAAATTAATATATAATATATATATATATATAAATATATATATATATATATATATATATATATATATATATATATATATATATATATATATATATAAGACTTGCATATGAAAAATCAAGAGAAAATCACGATCATTAGGACACACCATCCACTAGTACTTGTTTACAAATGTATTATGTATATGTAGGAAAACGCAGTACTCCGATTAACAGTATTACAAAAAATGGTAGGCCACGGTGCAATTTCACAGGCTATTCAAGACACTGTTGTTTTCTTGGATGGAACAGGAAACTGATGAGCGGCTACAGATGTCATGCATATATGATTATCAACATTACGAAAACGGCAGGGCCGACCGGCCGACGGTGCAATTTCACAGGCTATCCCAGACACTGTAGTTTTGTTCGATGGAACAGGAAACAGATGAGGAGAGACACATCTCTACGGTCTGCCGTCTACTTTATTGACGCCATTATTCCTAGGTAACCAGCTCGATGCCCGCCTCGATCATGGACTCCGCCATGAAGACGTTGGCAGCCTCCGACGGGTGGACGGCGTCGAAGAACACGTAGCTGCTGGCGTTCCGGCACGTTCCGGCCGTCGTCGGGTTGCAGAGGTACACCCTCGTCTTGGCCGTCCCCGTCTGGCAGCACGTATCCCTCGCGTTCGCGAAGCCTAAATAAACGGCGACGACGCACATCGATGGTCATATATGTTAGCAGCTATCACCATGTCGTGATCACGACATTATCGAACACGTACCATAAGCCGCCGGGTGTTGGGCGAGTTCGCGGAGGGGCGTGTAGATGTCGAAGATGGCGATCTTGAGGTGAGCGTGCCGTCTCTTGAGCGCCTTTACGGTGGCGTTCAGCTTCTCGTTGAAGGTCTCGGCGTCACGGTTGAGCCTTGGCACGCACGCGTCCTTGCCCTCGCCGTACAGCCTGATGGACGCCGGCAGGCAGCCCAGCGGCGGCATGGACGTGACGCCGATCCGCCGCGCGCCCAGTCTGTACAGCTCCTGCAACACATATTCGATCGCGCGCGTTCAACACGAAGCAAGCTAGGATGGCGGCTGGCCGGCCGTCTCTGATCCGGATGACGTACGTTGGCGAAGTCGGAGAAGGTGCCGACGAGGAGGTCGCAGTACTGGTCGACATTGTAGCGGCGGGACAGGGAGGCGTTGTGGTAGTAGTTCTGGAGGAAGTCGCCGGTGCCCGTGCTGACGACGTAGAGAGCGTCGGTGAGGATGGCGCGTGCCTTGGCGCGCCCGGCCACCGCGGCCAGCTTCGACTGGTACTCCTTGTAGTACTTGAGCTGCTGGGTCAGCGTGATCGCGTCCTGCACGTGTGCACACCCAGCAATACACCTACCCGTCACTGGCTAGTCTCAACAAGCAACAGCATCTAGCGTCTCCTGCTAAAAATGGGTTGTTGTTGCACCGATCCCATGGTACTTACATACATGGCCGCCGTGTCGTCGTAGTAGCTGGACGCCGCGGAGGCGAAGTTGGCGCCGATGAGCAGGTTCTTCCCCGACGCCTGCGGGCTGAGGTACGGCGGCGCGTAGCTCTCGAAGCCGAGCGTTTCAGCTGCAGCAACAACCCACAGAACGAACTCGTTCGTCACACAGCCGCCGTCATAACCACTACAGTCTACAGAGTAGGCATCAAGCGTGGTGGTAGCATAGCAACCGGTGATGTCGGTGACGATCTTGCCGTCGGAGAAGCGGCCGGTGGCCTCGTGGCGCACGAAGTCCTGCCCGTACGGCGCGTAGTCGGCCTTGAACACCGCGCCGGGGAGGTAGTTGTTGTTGCCGACGTCGATGGTGGAGTCGCCGAACGAGATGACCGCCGGCACAATCGGCTGCGCCTGCGCCCCGCCGCCGCCGCCGCTCATTATCGACGCCGACGCAACAAGCAGGGACACGACCGTCAGCGGCGACGCTACCATGGACAACGAGGACGCCATGTGCTGTTTACAGTTTACGCTCACCTCTTGCACGTTGCACCGTGTGCCGTGGGCGACGCACTGGCGACATACTTATACGCGATCGTTGCAGTGCGTACATGGTGTAACGACGCGTCAGCGTCGATGGAGCTCGCGGTTGGGTGTGTGCGCGCGCGCGCGCGATTATTTAAGGCGGCAGGCGGACCGAATTTTTTTATAATTTAGTCTTTTTTTTAAGTTTCTCACAAATAGATTCCTAGCGAAAAAAATTCAAAAAATGGACACTTAGCTCGGTGCCATTGATGCTAACGCCGAGCTAACACGTCTCGGCGCTAGCGTCCATGGCACCGAGGTCCTAAGCTCGGTGGATGACATGGCAGACACTCTGGCGCCGAGCTCGGCGCCGTAAATCTTGGCACCGAGCTTGGCGCCATAGTAACTGGCGCCGAGCTCGGCACCATAGTGACTTGCGCCGAGCTCCCTGCATTTAACTCCGGCCCAATCTTTCTGCCCGAGCGTTCTTCCTCTTCTTTCTCCTTCCTCTTGGGTTTTTTCTCTCCCCACTTCACCCTACCTCACGAATCGGCATATTGGACCTTGAAAACCTTGATTTGATCCGTAGATCTTCGAGAGCAAGGTATCCTCGCTCCCCTCCTAGTTTTTTTAGCATCGATTCGATATATATTAGTCGGATTTTTCAACGTAAGAATCGTCATCACTTAGGGTTTGATTGTATCCCTCAATATATGTATTATACAACCGTAGGATGATGCTAAGGCGTGGAAAAAGCTAGCAAACCTAGGCGCATGTAGTTATGTTATGTGTTCATTGTTGTGCATTAAATGGGAAACCCTAGGTTTAGGGTTTAATGTTAACTGCTTTCGGTTCTTAGAACGAAATTAGTTGTATTGTAGTTATGGTTCTCATTGACATTTATTTGTGATGTTTTGATTTATGTTTGTTAAATTACATCCGTTTTGTTAGATGCAAGAAATGTTCCGGGAGGAGTTTTGGCGAAAACGGGGTCGTCCTCGAGAATTATACCTCAACGCGTCTAGCAAAGATGCCCCCGTCCCTCCTGACATCCCTGTCCCTAACTGTGACTGTGGTTTCCCGGCCCATGTTTTTCAATCGAAACATCCGGACACAGCAGCGCGTTGCTTCTACACATGCAGTCGTTTTAATGTAAGAAATTGTTTCCACTATTATTTTTCTTTATTTGTGTAAGTATGCTACTAATATTTTGTTGGAATCTCGTTGTGTAGGACCATGAGAGGTGTTTTTTCTTTCAATGGATCGACGGTGCAGACATGTTTGATCCTAGGTACCTCCTTTTTGATGATTGGTTTAGAGGGAGACATCCACGTGAGCACTTCAAGCGGTGGGTTCCACCCCCCTAACCCTCCGCCAATGACGGCTAAGGAGAAGCACCTAGCCACAGTTAGACGACTCGAGGAACCTCCTCTGTGCGATTGTGGAGATCAAGCTGTGATAAACCCTGAGAATACGTTAGAGTTTGTGTGTCCAAACAAGCATAAAATAAGTGCAAAGTGTATGTGTTGAAATCTTGAGCTATATATGTTCATGTATTAATGTCTCATTATTTAGGTGTTTTCAATGACGAAGTGTCGTTTCAATGAGTGGTTGTATGGTCCTAAGAACCAATGGCCGGAAGAACCGTGGAGGGTTAAGGAAAAGAAAAAAGAAAGGGTAATCTACAAAGCACCTCCTGTCATGTGCGAATGTGGTGTTAAATCCAACTATGACTTAGTCCCTTCGGAGCTTGGAATAGGCCATTATTGTGGCCATATGATTGAGTATGACGAGGTTCGTTATTTTTCTAGTAAACATGAAATCGTATTTTGTTTCTTTTGCTAAGATATATATGATATAATATTTCTTTTGAACAGAGCACTAGGAAATGCAGGTGCGAATGTTATGATGGTCAAGCTAAGTTCTTGGATGAACTGAAGAAGAGGCAACTAATTGTACGGAAGAGGGGATATGGACCTGACTACGTCAACCTATTCATTAAACATCACAAAGAAAAGATGCGTGAATTTGCTAGACAACGCGGTATTTGTAACCCGATCGATGTTGAGCTTAACAAATGGGGATTAGAGAGGCGGATGACGTTAGAGGAGGAGAGGGCAAGGAATGAGGCAAGGGAGAAGACAAGAGTACAGATGCAAGTCTTGAACGAGCATGTTGCTACATTATGTGCCAGTGAGTGCTTGAAAACCTTTTTTTTCGTTGCCTGATTTTAAATGTAATATAATCGCGTTGCTAACTAATTACATTTTATACATGAAGGGATTGGTTGCAGCGAGGAACATGCCGTAGAGGTGGCTCGTGCAAGGTATGAGGAGAAGTTAGATGAGCATAGATCGTGAGCTGGTCGCACCGTTCAATCACCGATTGTGTTGTCTGATGAGGAGGACGAGGATGAGAACGACACTGGCAGACTGAGTGAGCTCATTGCTCTAGCAGAGGTGGGCATGTAGGCGCAGGAGGCTGAGGACGACACTGGCAGGCTGAGCGAGCTCATCGCTCTAGCAGAGGCGGGCATGCATGCGAAGGAGGTTGAAGACGACACTGGAAGATTGAGCGAGCTCATCGCTCTAGCAGAGGCGGGCTTACGGGCGGAGGAGGATGACGACGCGTTCTTCACTCAGGCCGCAGCGGTCGCAGATGAAGCGGAGGCCGCTTACTACAAGCGACAGACAGGTCAGAGCAACGCAAGTGAGCCTAGCCATAGTAACAGGGTTGTGGTAGAGGACTGGTACTCGGATGATGAGTTGCTTACTCAGTACGTTTTAGACTGAGGATTTAGAAGTGTATTTGCCCCTACGTCTACTGTCGGTACGTACTTCTAGTATTAATATGTTGTGTAATGTGGCATAGTATTGAACTTTTCATTATGTGGTTGTTTTTATTATTTATGGTCTTAATATTCCGCTTAATGATACGGACGTATTGAAATGTGAACACGTGTTGCAAAAAAAACCTAATGACGTACGGCATTATATAAATCAACACACGAAACACATGAAATGGCATGTGACTACATGTACCGAACCTGGGTACAGAGTTTTCTTCGACTAAACCTAACATGCCTTAGGTAATTAAACCAAACAACAAACACATAGATGTGGTATGTGAAAAAGATAAAGTCGTCCTAGTAGTGTGGCCACATAGCAAATTGTGTTGCACCTTCTCTATAGTAGCCTCCCGTTGTTGTTGGTGGTGGTGGCGGGGGTGACGGGGGAGGCCCCTTGTTCTTGTGGTTAGGGCAGGTGCAATATGGATCATTGCAGAGTGCCTCCTGTGAATCGGCACCATTGTTGTTGTCGTCCTGTCCGTCGTCCTTGTAACCGCTGCTAACTTCCCTTTCTACATCGAAGATACGGTCCTGTAGGTAGTAGATGTACTCTGCATGCGGATAAATAGGTCGAGGATCGACCCACGTACTGAACCCACAGTTTTCTTTGGCCAAGAAAGACTACAATAAGTATGTCTATAAGAGAAACATATTGAAGAAACAAATAGTAATAGCAATTACCCATGCTCACGGGCATTTGAAGAAACGACGACCTCCATCTATTCCCTCGGTGAACATCTACACTAGGTAGTCCTCACCATGCATGTATTTTGGCCACTCTTCTTTTCTTTCATCGTATCCTCTCAGTGGTGCCTCTTTGGTGAAATCACTTTTACTCTCGACTAGGAACCTCTCATAAAGAGCTTCCTCAAAGAAATCGGGACCAAGAGGACCCTTCCACCCACAGATAGTTCCCTTCCTCTTTCCTCTCTCTTTGGACGGCCCTCCAGACATTGGTACTGCAGCAAAAGAAAATGTTGAGGAGTGTTCTTCTTCCTTGTTGTGTGTGTGAATGAGAGGGAGTGAGTGGTTATTTATATGTTGAGAGGAGGAATGGAGGCCTCTCAGTGTGCCATGTCAGCGATCCGTGTGCCTCTTCACCTCAGCCCTTGGATCAAATAGTCATAAGATGGATGGTGGAGATAGAGTGGAGTTGTGCTTCCTTGCATGCCAGTACTATGTCAATGATGTGATAAATCGTTGTTGTCCCTATATCTCTAAAAAGTCTATTTTTATTATCTGAAAAGCATAGAATCGTTCACTGTTGCTTGGTAACCCTAGATTCATCTACAAAGCATATGTACGATACGTTTGGATTATATACTTTCTAATAAATTTATAGTTAATCTGTGTACTACATTTGTGCCTTTTTAGCAGTGTAGTATGATAATTGTTTCACGAAAAAAATTCATAAGAGTTTCCCTTGTTTTAGGAGCATCCATAGTTACAAACAGAGACATCATTATATATTCCAAATATTTAATCATCCAAGGAGCAAAATGCAACCACAATGAACATCACAACCAACATAATATGTTCTGCGCAGTCCAAATAGTCCACAATGTACATACAGTCCCAAATAGTTATAGAAAAGTAAATACAAAATCCATAATAGTGCATACTAACAACTACCACATCTCTCACTGCCTCCTACTCTTGCCCTTACCCTTGTGATCGAGAGCACTCGTACCTAGAGTGTAAGGGTCATGCAGACGGCGTCGCCTAGTGCCTAGAGGCGGTGTAGGATGAGTCAAGGGAGCATCATGGAGCTGAGAGGGGCCAAGCTCCTTGTGCCTCTTGTCCACATCGTCGTCATCGTCGTCTTCCTCATCCTTGTCCCCGTCCCCTATAGCTGCTTGACTAGAGGAACCCAAGACTCCTCTACCTGCGGAAGGAACGTACACGTCTTGCGTCGTGTCTGTCCTGCAACCACAACGACCAGCCACACGGCGTAGACAACGTGATAGCCTCTGTTGTACAAAACTATGTTAACTGAAAGAATCTAACGTATTAATGATATGTTTGAAATAATATTTTTAATCTTACGTCCAGGAAGCCAAGTATGTAGTCGCCATTGACTCTCGGCCGAACGCGCTCAATCTCTTCAACTGAGCATTTGAGTGTATTGCCCTGCAACAAA